TCCTCTTTCCTCTACTTGATATAAGATTTGCTCAAAAGCATTACTTAAATATTCATCTATTTCAGCTCGATTGTAAAATATAATTTGCTTATTTCTGAGCCAGTCTCTTTGCGAGTTCTTTTCTTTTTCAGGCTTTTCACTTTTAGGCTTATTATCTATAAGAAATTTGATAAGAGAACATAAAGCAAACTTGAATTGTTCACGCTTATCGAATTCCTTTTCAAGTACTTCCTTAAACTGCTTTCTTCGGCTCTCTAACATTTTTTGTATGTCACTTCCTTTATCAGAATGTGATTTTGGAACTTTTGCATAATGTACAACTATAGCTCTTCTTCTAGTGCTATGTCTAATTCTTCTTGCTTCCTAAATTCTAGATCTTTTTCTTGTTCTTCAGTAATACCTCCTAAACGCCTGAATTCTTCATTATTTACCTTTTTCTTATTGGTTTGAGTTGCTAAACTAGAAACTGCATTAGTTTTCCAACTTTGATATTCCTCATATTCTTCTTTTGTAGGAAGCCTTTCTGCTTCTCCATCATATTGCCCAAGATCATGATAAAGAAGTTTACATAGAAATAAATTTTCTGATTTATCACGATTATCTTCTAAATCAAGTTCCTTCCATCTTTTATATAATCTTGCCCCCATTTTCTAAAATGCTCACCAATTTTTCAATCATTTGGATTAACCCATTTTTCAGCCTTCTCTTTAGTAATATAATCCTTTCTAAGAATTGGGATCAGAGCTTGCTCTTCTCTTTGATCATGCCTATTCTCTTTATTTTTAGGAATTGGTATTGTTTCAGAAGTTTGAATGGCAACTTGAACAGAGTAACACTATCTTTTTCTGAAAATATTTCTTTACAAATTTCAGCTACAATCCCTTTCTTATCTATATAACTTAGTGTTCAGAAATGACCTAGTCATTTGACCATTTAAATAATTTGTCTATTTCTTTGACATAATCATAAATTATTTGTCATTTGTCATTTAGTCATTTGCTTTACAAAAAATTTAGCAATACTCTTAAAGAATCACAAATTCTTAGCGAGTTTCGCAATTTTATCTTCCAACGATAAAGAATTATTCCAAAGAATGATAGATCATTTTAGTAGAATGATAGAAGAATCGTTCTAAAGGAACGATATAAAAAAATTATTCCAATAAAACGATACTACATTGTTCTAAAAGAACGATAAAAGGTCATTCTATCAGAATGATAAAAAAATCATTTTAATAGAACGATAAAGATCGTTTTAAAGGAACAATATAAAAAAATCATTTCTTAAGAATGATACTACATCATTCTATCAGAACGATACTACATCATTCTATCAGAACGATACTTTTAATCATTCCTTTAGAACGATTCTTTTATCGTTCTATCAGAATGATACTTTTAATCATTCCTTTAAAATGATTCTTCTATCATTCTATTGGAATGATGCTTTTAATTGTTTCTTTAGAATGATTCTTCTATTGTTCTATCAGAATGATACTTTTAATCATTCTTTTGAACAAAACTAAAAAATTGTTCAATTTTTAGCTTGAGTTTAGCACTTGACTTAACTTTACTGGACTTGTCTGACTCATAATTTGAGTCGACTTATTCAGAACTCAAATATAATTTAATATACTATTATATACTATATAAAATATTTGCCCAATATGAAATAATTTTTTTTAATATATATAATTAAATATTTTAATAAATTTAACTTATTTACACTATAATAAACAAAATAAATAATAAAAATTTATAAAATTTGCTATATTTAAAAATTATTGAAATGACAGGTCATTTGTCATTTGTCATTTGAGTCATTTGCCAGTCATAATCATTTGGCGAACACTGTATTACAGTATATAATTGTTTATATAACTGATTTCTCTTTGCTTCTGTTCAAATAGTAGCAAAATAAATGTTATGTTTATTTTCTGCATAAAATCGATCACTCACATAATTAGATTCTATTAATTTTCCATTAATGAAATGATATGCTTTACCATAAGATATAATATCTAAAAACTTTTTATCATTAGAAGTACTACTATTCCTTATTACCTTCCAAACTCATTTTACTCATATCTCAGATCTTTTCTTATAATTCCTGTAAGCTCACTGGATAACTGTTACATAGACATTTTCAAAGTGATAGCATTTAGGAATAATCCCCATAATTGCAACATTGCATTTCCTGAACTCTGAGAAAAAAAATTAATATATTATGTAATGTATGATCTAATAAATTATATGTGAAGTAAACAATTGTGTTTAGTCAAAGATATTAAGTCTATTTCATTTTTTGCATTTTTCCACATAGAATCAAAATACTTTTCAATATCAATCAAGCTTCTCTCAAAGCTATGCTTCTTCGGAAAATAATCCTTCCTGTAATTGAGAAATAAAGTATTACACTTCGGTTAAAAGATAAAATGTTTGGCTCACCGATTAATAAAATAGCATTATAATTTTGTAGCGAAAATTTATTGTTAATTAGCAACATACATTCTTATGTACTGTATATCAATTATCAAGCAATGGTACAGGTATTTTAATTTTGCAAGGTGAATTTGATTTATACTTTCAATATGATGATATTTTAGCAATCATTGAAATAGAAAGGTTGTAAAAGACCCGTATATTTATTACAAACATTAAATAAGGACAATAAGACTTTTTAAAATTAAGATTACTTCTTTATACAAAAGAATCAGATAACTTCTCAGCACTAAACCCATTGTTCAAGCTTGTGATCATCAAGCAAACGGATATTCTTTGCATATGATTGTCTTGAAGGCCTTTTTTTGGTTTCTTGTCTTCTTGAACTTTACTGTCATATCGTAAGCAAGCAACTGAATTTTTATAATTGACGGAGTTAAATTTTACTTATAATTATAATATGTATAAAATAAAAACCGTTAATACATACTGCCCATTTTAACATGCATTCATAATACCATACAAAGTCTGCCATCTCAGTATAATCTCGAAGGAGATTTGCATTTTCAATTTCATGTAAACAGAATTCGCCTATAATTATAACAACATTGGTATGAGAAATATATTAATAGACAATGAAAAATAAAAGAATAACATACCACAGTAATCGAGATAAAAGAGGTGAATGCGAAGCCCAAAACTCTGTCCTCCGAAGACAGCCATTCCGTTTGGGATACGCCTTCTATTGTTAATGGTTTCTCTAACAATTGATGAAAACATCTTTTTTAAATTCCTTGCAATTTTTTCCGCATCTACAAATTCTTTATTTTCCTTCGCCTTAGGCCTTGCCCCCTCCACATATATTAATTGAAATTTATCAGCGCCCGACATATACCCAGCACCATCGGCACATTCTCGCTTCACATGGTTTTGAGAAGGAATCTCCCCAAATATATAATTGATTCGTGCAACATGCCATAGTGCTGCTTCTAGGCATGGATGAACATATGAATTTAAATGAGGTTTTTCTATTGTTTGAATATCTTGCAGAGGATTAAATGCGCCAAGAGAAAATGCCTTTATACTACAAAATAAGTGCAATATAAAAATAAGTATAAAACTTTATTTAATAAATCAATAAGTTGTTTGTACTTACAATTGTGGTAACGTTCGTCGTATTATTCTTATTGTTGCCACTAACAGTTTATCATCACATTTTGGTTTATCATCGTTTTTTGGAGATTGTAGGTCATCGATCTTATCCTGCCATTCAGCTTCTGTCAGCTCTTGAGAGAAAAAATCGACAAGAAAATCATGAACATTATCTGGAATCAGGTTGCCTGATTTCTGTTCAATTTCTTGATTATAATCTTGGACAACTTTATGAGAAAGCTGTTTGAAAATTTAGACCTTGGTCGCAAATCAATTATGGCAATACCAGGATAGTGTTTTTTATGTTCAAGATAGATGTTCCTCATTGTCTCTGAGTATTCAATCTCATTTCCAAAGATTTTCATAATAGATTCCTGCAAGGTAATAATAATATTATAAGTTAAAAATCACGTAATAATACATTTATAAAGCTTACTTCATCATCTTGGTTTTTATTAGAACATTCAACATCAGAAGATAAGATTTCCTTTCCGTGATACTCTTCATGATCATATTCTTCGTGACTTTGAAACTTATAAGAGATAAGTTAGAATAAATTATCAATAGTAAGTTACACCATAAAAAACAATATGAATTTAAGTACAAACAAATTCAGGTACGAAATTATCCGCGTGATCTAACTCGTTTTTCACCCGACGAGGCTTCATTATTCTCTCCTGTCCGTTTCTTGCCTGATGCTCGTAGAAATTCCGAAAATTTATGTTCAGAGAATACGGTTGTGTCAAGGAGCCGAATTCTCTCTGCAATCCGTTTGTCAAGATTCCGTTGGTAAAAATCATCATACAACTCCTCACATCTTTGCCGTATTTCGGATCCTTCAAAGGTATTACAGATATTAAGGAGGTCCTTGCAGAATGCGGTTATACATCCTGGAATTTTCTTAATTGTATTTTGTGCAATACGATTCAAAGAAACTTGCCAATCATCGTAGACAACGGACCATGGTAAAATTGTATCATCATTTTTTAGACGAAACGCCAAATAATGTTTTAATTGCCAGAATCGCGCTTCTACCGACTTAAAGTAAACGTAAATATTTTGTTCGTTAGGTACTTTAAAATCCAAGTATGTCTTGCTCCTAAGTACTGCAGTCATGTTTCGCGAGGAAAATATAGCATTTTTATACTGCTTTGATTGTGCTTAGGGATGTTAACGATCTCAGGGAGACGGTCTAGATCACGATCCAATCATAAGACCGATCTCGGTCCAATCTGAAGGTTGAGATTGGATCGAATCAGATTGGACCGGATCGATCCTTAAGACCGATCCTAAATCAATTTTATATAAA